TACCTCAAGTGAGCACACCAAAGATGAGTAGCTTATTCCTGTATTGTATGGTTCAGAAGCACTCAGGGACCCATTAATCTGGTGCTAATGGACATATTATGCATTGTCTTTCTTCTATGATAGGATTCCTATCATGGATTTCTTCCTGATCCTCCGATCGTTCATCAACCCATGATGCTAGCGATTTCATGATGAGAGACACGAATACATCCCCACCCACCGCTCATTTCGTCATTTCAATTCCAGTGTGAAGACTTCCCGCTTCCAGCTATGCGACTACTCTGTCTTGTTGTCCTAGTTGCGTCCAGCTTCCTGGCAAATGGCGAAGCCTTTATTGTGGATTCTGTTACGGCCGGCATCGCTACGCATCTTTCTTCTGGTGCTACCCAGTCGACTGACACGAATCTCCGTGGAACAAGATTTCTGAGAGCTGTTGAGAAAGTCAGTCTGAGTGCAATCGAAGACGACGAAGAGAGAGTGCCAACAATGAATTTTGCTGGAATGTTTCGCGATGCGAAGGAAACTCGAAAGTGGTTGCAGTATTGGTTCAATACGGGCGAATCAGCAGAGAGCGTCGCTGCAAAGTTGGGAGCGGTCAAGTTGTCAGGCGTCGATGCAGCCATCCATGAAAATTCAGCGGCTTTAGCTAAGTACGGTCAAATGCTGAAGGATGCAAAGGAAGGGCGGAAGTACGCTTACTTTGGCACGGGCTACCAAACTAGGAAGAAAACGATGGAATGGCTGGGTAAGTGGGCCCTTGAAGAAAAATCTCTGGAATATGTTGCCACTCAGCTGAAAGTGCTGGGCAAAAACGGCAACATGCTAAAGGTTCACCGGAATTACAACGCGATCAAGGCGTACAAGGAAATCCTGGAGAGCGTGGAAAAAATTCGTGCAAAACCTGTTTAACTCACTCTAGGACTGCCTTTGTGTCTGACCAAACGGTCTTTTTCAGAACTCAACTTCGTTTTTCCACGCACGTACTATTGTGCCTTTTACTTGTTTTGGCGAGTAGAGTGTTGGAATTAGATCCATAAAAAGCTATCGGCACATTTAATGCGGAGATGAGACAAACCAAAATTATATGGAATTAGCTGACCGTAGGGCATAATTAAGATGGAGAAGAGAATTTAATTAAACCAGAATAATCGCGGCAGAATAACTGAAAAGCATAACTAGATCGTCATCGACTTAGCTGGGAATACACTTCTTTTTACGCAACGATAGGTACTAGAAAAAAATATCAGAGATTTTGCCATGTGCACAGTTGAATGTACTTGGCACGGCATAAGTGTCTTGGTAGAACCCTTATTCTGCAGGCTCCACCAAGATACAAGCAACCAATGGATAACAACATGTTCTGGAACTATGGAATACAAACTATATAAAAAGAGAAAATAAATGGCTCCAATTAACCACACTCCTTGAAGACCATAGTCCAACATTTTTTTTTTTTACATGTAGTACAAGTCCCAAACTTCACTCGAGGGGCCAATCCCGGATGGTAATAGAACGAATCAGATTGCAGGAAGCATTATAAGCCCATTCGACTGGGTATAAAATTCTATTTTCCAGATTTTTTTTTCAATACGTACATATAATATTTACTGCTGTACATCTTAGCAAGCTATCGTAGGTTGTTCACGGGCCGAATCAGCCGCAAAGGAAGCGGCGAAATATGTCAAATCGCGGAGTTTTAGTGTTCTAGATTAGAAAAATGATAATCTTAACTTGCCTCTTCAAACCATTTTGCAAGTGCGGTGACCCTGCGGCGAGTACAAGTAGACCATGCTTTGAGGTAGCCTTGCATTGATATTAGAGTGTCAATAATTGCTTCAACGGCACGCGCTGCGATACAATCTGTAAGGTTAAAACTCGGTCAAACGGACAGAAAAAATGCAATGATAAACGAACTACACCAAAAAAATATGTGCTAGGTTTTCTGTAGGTATTTCCTCTTGGGGATTTGATAATCTGCGTTTAGGCTGCCTTCCGGACTAGTTTATACCGTTTTAATTCGGTGGCGTTGCGTTACCGACTGAATAAGCGAACGTTTAGAAGCGACAGAGTAGTGACGCTTCTATTCCCCGCACGGCGATTTCTACACGTCCACGAAGAGAAATGCGTGGCTGGTAATCCTGCGCGAGTTCGCGACCAAAGACCGGTAGCCCTTAATATGGACTAACCGACGCCAAAATATGTTTTAAACATTCTACTTTTGCTCAACGTTCAGCTTACATTTTGAGGTCAGCTTAATATTGAGCGAAATAACATCGAGCGCGTTACGCAGTACCGTAGAATTTATCCGTTGAGGGATGCCCAACATATTTTTTTGTTGTTGTCTTCCGGTTATACGGTATACGATGTTCGTTGACCTGGTCCTACCCAGTCTATTTATACAATCAATTACGAACGATTACACTTTCATGCACGAATGAGGGGGATCTCATCAGGAGATAACCGAATAATGAAAACTCACGGACATTTTGTACGATAGTTACGAAGAAATAAATTTGAGCTCCTATATTGTATTAAGCATTGCGGTAGTTTTACTTCGGAAAGTCCGGATCTCAAATCCAGATAAATACCATTCATTTAATCTTTTTCATCGCCCGATAGAGTGACCTAATCATTTTATAGAATTCTGGTGCGCGTGATCAATAATGTAGTAGCTCTTTTGACACGGCATGTTCCGGAAATTGTATTTAACCCTTAATGTCGAATACTGTCGATGATCTTCTTAAAGCTCTTTGTGGTCGCTCTTTTGCCAGCAGATATAACGCGGTCGGAGAATTTTTCTTCTTGCCAGTCTTTCCAGATGCCGTACTGCATGACTTGAGCATTCCTTTGAGCAGCTTCAAATTGCTTAAGGCGCTGAGCGAGTTGCAACATTTCAGAGTCCCTAGCGTAATAAGCAAGATATAATTAGTGAAACTCAAGGAATATACAAAAGATGCGCCTCTTACGATCCATTGTCGTAATTTTTCAGATTTTCAGGAATGCACTCGGCATAACCATGAGAGACCAGCTCTTGGGCCAAGTCTCCTCCCAATGGCGGCTACAATAATGCAACAAAATTACATTAGTACAGCAAAATACGATCAGCATCCCATCAACGAACCCTTCGCAACGCGATATTGCATGTCGCCACGCTCTCACTTCCATCCACTCGAATTCTATGGATTGCAGCACATCAATAATTACCCAACTATCAATAGGCCAATTACCGCACATCATCTCACCGTTGCAGTAACTGAATTGTCATGTACCGATGCGATGAAACAAAGTTGGACCAGATCCACTCCTCCGAGCTCTCGTCAACTTGCACGCCAAAAGGTCGAATGGCAAGCAGGTCGCTCTCTTTTTTCTTCTCACTAACACTAACCGTCAAACTCTGTGGTAGCACATCTTGCAGCATAATACGACGAAAAAACGGCGTATGGTACACGTAGAAAATGCTCGGGTCTTGTCTCGACTGGCGGATCATGCGCACACGCAACTTCTTGCGCCTCGCAAACTGCCATAGCGGAATTTCCTCCACATTATTGACGCGGTGTAGCAAGCCACTGAGCTTGATAGATGCAGCCACTGATACAGCCACCGTCACCATGAGGCCAACGCGGAACCATGTCAGATGCGAGTCGATGGTCTGCTGTGTGTCAACCACAAGTTGTCCCACTTGGTGGCGCAGATCTCCGTCTTTATCCACGCTACGGTCATTAGAATTTGATAGCGGTTGCGCAGGTGTTTTAGCTGTAGAATGCGCTGGTTGGTGGGGTGAGTCGTCGTCTGATGCGCTTGCGCTGGGAGGAGAAGGTGATGCAGATTCCGTATTTGACGCCATTTTGCTCCTCGCTGCACGTCAAAAATGTCACCATAAATGTCACTATAATGAAGCTCAATTTCACGTTAGTGACATAGTTGAAGTGGTCGGTTTTTGCTGGTTTAGAACACTACCAAGCTGCTTATAGTTCCGAGGCCTGTCCTCTAGAAGAACTTCGTTGCTGCATGAGGCGACTGCATCCTCGCATGAGTCCACACCATCTCACTCGCTATTCTGCCGCGGAAGGAACAAGACACCGAGAAACATTTATCTAAACATGAGGAAGTATGAGGACACGTGGGTAGTGGACCGCACCATGTTCGAATACGTCAACCAGGTCGCTATATCTATGAATCTGTTTCACTTCTACGCTATATACTGAAGTATCAACTGCAGGGAGGCTGCAGCTGCTGTGGCGTGACGCACACGATCATGAACTTGGCAGACTTTGCCAGCAAGTGCTCCGACTGGGGTGCGACGGAAGCAGTTAACGAGTTGCACAATTAAAGATCTCAGACTTACGTTTGATGATACCACAGAGACCGACGATGAAAACAAGGAGCAATTCTCGCCCTGGCCAATGTTCATTCATGAAGAGATTCTGACAGAGCGTGCTCGCCTGCGAATGGCGATGAAAGCCGACATGAACAAGTACAAGGACTTTGTAGAAACCCACATGAAGGGCTTTATAGACTGGTGGTCCCGATTGGGAGAGAACACTAAGGCGAGGTGTGTTGTGCCTTGTGTTATATTAAATATTTGTGTCTTCTGTAGATGTGGTTGCTCTAACAGAACCTGTTATCCTATTAAGAATTTTCCAGCTGCCGAGTGAAGAAGTGTTGAGTTACTTTCGTATCCAGACGAAGGTGAAAGGATCCTACGAGATTGTACGTGCTCTCTCTTGTTCCACACTTACCCAGGGCTGCTAACATGTTCCGGGCATTGCTTGTAGTTGCTCTGTGCCATTTTAGAGCAGATCCGCCACTTTCAGGAGACTGGATACACCGATGGTCGAGTGGCAGCCGAGCTCTTCTTTGAGAAAAACCTCGTGGTATGCAAAGCTTTTAATTTGCTTTTGAAAAGTACCAAAAACCTGACTGCAAGTGTTCGGAGTATAGCACCAGCGTGATAGCTTTGTGCTTGACTCGCAGTACATTGCGAATGAAGCCGGCGACAAGAACTTCTTCGAGATGCTGACGATCCTCGGCGGACCCAAGCTACTTCCTGTCCGGACGGGTACGTTCAAATGCGAGAAATAAGCACCAAAACATCCCGTTACCCATCGTGTTGCCGATATATTGCAGCACGTAACCCCAACGAAAAGAACGAAGCGGAGGCGGAGCAAGCGAAGAGCGAAAGTAACGTGCAGAGTTTCCGTTCGGATCGACGCTTGGTTCGTCTGGTAAGATCTCTCTCTTTGGAGCTCATAATCTGCAACTCACATTTTTTTTTTCGAATGCAGGTGATGTTCCGTGTTTTCGCTGACATGGCGATACGGAAGTACACACGCGAAGTGGTGAATGCTGAATCGAATAACAAAATGGATGTGTGAAGCCCAAACGTTCTGTTCAGATGAAGAAAACACTCCAAGGACAAGCAAAAAAAAAACACTTGATAACAGCAAATGCGTACAATTGAGTTAGAAGGAGCATAGTGATTCAACCTCTTACTCGGATGTTTTGACAGTAACGCGAAGTCCATCAAGGTCGCCACTCTAATTAGCAGTGACAATGACGCCCTTCTCCTTTGCGGCATAGTACTTGCGGCTCTCTTCAAAGTATCCGTTCGGGTGGTTGATGAGGACGTCGGGATCGCTGCCGGGATGAGTAGCTTCAAAGTACTTTTTGCATGCGATCTGGTAGTGGTGGTTCTCTGCGAGCGACAGGATCTCCTGCTTGTCTCCTTCTGATACTCCTTGCAGTGCCTTACGAAGATGCTCCTGCTCGAAATGACGG